TGGCACAGCTTCAGTGATGCTGGTATCAGGCTCAGTTCTTACACTTGATGACAGTGGTGTAAGATACTTTTGCTTCCCTCAAAGTCTTCTGGCATTCCTTCCTGCCTGTTGTCTTACAACACCCTATATCCACAATTATAAAGCCACAGTGGTGTGAGGTGTCACTCTTTCAAACGGATTCCAGAAGTGACCCAGATAAAAAAATCATTAAACCTTCCCCTCCTTCCCTATCCAAAGAAAAAGTGCTGTTATTTTCTCCAAAAGATCAGTGCCTTGGTTTTATTAACAGAACATCTTTATGCACAACTGTGCCTATGCAGTATGGGATACCTGTTAATTTCACATATGCAGTTTCTATGGCAGCATTTGTTGGACTTCATGAAATAGATGAACTTTTGAATAACTGACAGATATGTTTTAATAGCAGCTTTAGAGACACTGATGGTTTTGCAGCTATTGTTCTGATGAGATCTTGTTCGATTTTGTGTTTGTTGATCCATAGAAAATTCACTTTTGGATGCTTAGATTGAAAACAGGAATAAGGAAGGAGTCTTCATCTTCTTCCTAATAACTTATAATTGTTTAAGAACTTTCTGAAGAGATTCCATTGCAGGAGGAAACACAGCAGAGCAATACACATCCAGTGGAATTTCCTCTTCTTACAATAATAAGTGCAATATTGTTGCTTATTCAAAGAAGTGATCTACATATTGTGCAGTATTTTTTTTACTGAGGAAAGTAATGTTTAAAGAAGAGGCTTCAAGTATTGTGATCAGAGCAGACACGTGCACAAAGTCATCTACCACAACTGTGAGTTATGCTGCTGCTCCTGCAGTGTCCTGCTGCTGGAGATCCAATTAAACATGACACATCTATCTTCCAAAATTCCATTATTTTATGCTTCCACTAACATTTCTATATATATGAGTTAATATACTGCTCCACAGGTTGTCTCATGCTCATCACGGTAGTCTCTTAAACTCTTATAAAAGTGCACCTAACAGTCCAAGTGATCAAACCAAAATTAATGTTGAGCTGGAAACATGGCATTTGCCTTTACTTATGCAGAGACAGTGCTAGGTAGGGCACCATTTAATGTTCCTCCACACAGAAGTTAGGGCCAGTCTTAAGATTTCTTGTACCATGGATCTCACTCCTGTATCTGACAAGATTCTGTGAGTTGTCATCATATTGATCTTCTGATGTCCTTCCCTATGTTTATAGCGTAGGAAAAGATCTAAAACTGTATTTAAAAAATCTAATAAAAGTGGAATGTGGGAGAATCATATGACAATTAATACTCAGTTATTCCACTTAGCAGAGTAAATCAATAGCTTTAATATATAAAAATAAAGTAGCAATAAAGTCATATTACATATAAATTAAATTTTACTTTAATATGGGATAGCAACGAGACATAAAGATACAGCACATTTTTGCTTCATAAACCCAAGTTCATGTCCTATATTATATGTCAGCTAAAGCTTCCACTTCAAATAATATATGTAAATAACGGTTCATTGTTGTATTCCTATGGCTAGTTTTGCACTCTGCTCAATAAAATAAATGACATATATCAAGTTACATAACTGCTACTGGCAATTCAGAAAAAAATTTGTGACAAAATACATCACACAATCTATCCTTCTATCTGATATTGTAGTGGTTTAACCCCAGCCAGCCACCAAGCCCCGCACAGCTGCTCACTCATCCTCCCCACAGCGGGACCGGGGAGAGAATTGGAAGTGTAGAAGTCAGAATATTCCTGGGCTGAGATAGGCAGTTTAGCAGGGAAAGCAATTGCTGTGCACACAAGCAAAGTAAAATAAAAAAAGAATTGATTCAGTGCTTCCCATGGGCAGGCAGGTGTTCACTCATCTCCAGGACAGCAGGGCTCCATCATGTAAAGGTTACTTGGGAAGACAAACACCGTCACTCCAAATGTCCCTCACTTCCTTCTTCCCTCAAATTTGTATACTGAGCATGATGTCATATGGTCAGGAATATCCTTTTGGTCATTTGGAGTCACCTGTCCTGGCTGTCTCCTTCCAACCTCCCATGTACCCCCAGCCCCCTCATCATGGTAGCAGTATGAAAAGTAGAAAAGGTCTTGGCTTTGTGCAACCCTGCTCAACAGTAACAAATATATAACTGTATTATCAACCCTGTGTTCAGCACAAATCCAAAACATACTCCCATACAAGCCACTGTGAATAAAATTAACTTCACGCCAGCCAAAACCTGTACAGATACTGATTGCAATAACATCCATCAAATTATACCTGACAAGTCTCCATTTCAGACCTGAAGGAACAGAATTTCTCTCTCTCCTATGAAAAACCTTACTGGGAAATCCTTGTCTACACTCTGCATCGAAGTGATAATCTGGGAAGCCCATGATGTGGCTAAAGATTGTTATTGTGTGTACTGTGTTCCACTGTACAAATAAATGTTCAATATGCAGCAAGATTTTGACTAAGAAAGCATTTGCTTTTGTTTTTACTATCAGTTATTTACATTGCTACTTCACTGATTAACCAATCATTTTGTATTTCTAACCCTGAGGATTACATGTCAATTGACTCAAATTTTTACATTTGATATGTTAGCCTGCAAAGTGTTTGGAAGCAGTTTGCCTGTGACTGAAGGAAGTAATAAAGTTGTCCTGTCAGTCTAAAGGATAAACTATACTTGAGCATGAGCTGTGCTGGGAGAACAAAATAATTTCTCTCTGTTATTACTGAAACTAGATGAAGAGCGTGTAGTGAAAGGATGAGGGAGAATGGCCTGAAACTGAAAGAGAACAGGTTTAGATTAGATATTAGAAAAAATAATTTGAGGGTGGTGAAGCACTGGAAGAGGTTTTGCAGTGAAGCTGTGAACGATCTATCCCAGGAAGGGTTCAAGGCCAGGCTGGATGGAGCTCTGAGCAACCTGGTCTGGTGAAAGGTGTCCCTGCCCATGCCAGGCCAGTTGAAACCAGATGGTCTTTAAGGTCCCTTCCAACCCAAACCATTCTATGATTCTTTGACGATTACTGAAACAAGATGAAGCTATTAATAATATCTATTGCATAAAAACCATAGTGCAAGTATAGCGACTGAGACAAAATTGTCTCAGTTGAGGAGAGTGGGGTAATTCTTTTTGCCCTGTATCTGACTAAACTCCATACACACTAACAACATAGACCTGGATTCTTGTGCAAATGGATCCTGCTGCCACATCAAGGGTGCCCAGGCGTGACTTGGCCTGCTGCCGACCCCTTGGCACACATCTATCCATGACAGCATTCTCCAGAGGAACAGGGCGATTACTGGCATAACCCTATCACCCAGCAACTTGTGGCAGCCAAGTTTGTTGCCAAAGCAAGACAGGGCAGCGAATCGATATGGAGCTTCTGTTCCCAACTTTTAAGAAACATCTTTTTAAAGCAATGGCTTTGGGAGTGAACTGGTAATGGATTGTGTAGATCATCACATTAAAATTCACCAAATTCTAAAGCACAAGTCCAGCCAAACCTTCAGGCAATGCTTCCTATTCTGCTCTGTGGAGAACTGACAAACTTTCTGTTGGGTCACAGAAAGATAGAACTATATGATTGTTAGTGTTAGGAGGGACTGTCTTCCAAGCCGGGGTCACCTAGAGCAGATTACACAGGGTTGCATCCAGGTGGGTTATAAATGAGTCTCCGGAGAGCAAGACTCCCTGAGCACCTGTTCCAGTGCTTGGCCACCCTCAGTGTAAAGAGTTTCTTCCTCTTTACATGTTGAGGTGACACTTGTGTTTTAGTTTATGGCCATTACTCCTTGTCCTGTTGCCGGTCACCACTGGGAAGAGTCTGGCACCATTCTCTTGACAGCCACTTTTCATATGCACTAATGAGTGCTCCTCTCTGACTTCTTCTCTAGACTAAGCAGGCCCAGCTCCAGCAGCCTCTCCTCATATGAAAGAAGCTGCCAGCCCTGACTTCGTTTCCAACTGCTCTGCATTAAAACAGCTGGAAGCACAACAACATCCACGCGCGGCACGGGAGCAGCGCCGGCTGAGAAACGGAAGGGAAAGGCAGGCACCAGCGCTGGAAAGCGGGCGCCGCTGCGCCGTGTTCTGCACAAGGCCGAGGCGACTGGGCACGGAAAAGGTCTCCGCGCCCGCCGGCCGGACCCAGCGGGAGCGCCTGGCGAGCCCAGCGGAGCGGGGCGGGACGCGGGCCCCGGCCGAGCCGCCCGTCCGCTCCCTGCCCCCTTCCCGCAACGCGCTGATACCAACGCTCGCGCGCGCAACAGCCAATCGGCGGCCGCGGGCTCGCTTCTCCCTCGCCTCCCATTGGCCCGCGAGGGCGCGGGGGCGGGGCGGGGCAGGCGCGCGCCCGCCCGCTCGCCGCAGTCCCGCAGTGCCGCCGCCGCCGCGCCGGGGCTCGCGCGCGCTACAACCGCCGCAGCGGCCGCGCGGCTCCTCCCGGTGCGGGGCGGCTCCTCCCGGTGCGGGGCGGCACGGGAGCGGCGGGGCTGGGCTGGGCTGGGCTGGGCTGGGCTGGGCGCAGCGCGGAGGTGACTCTGCTCGCCGGCAGCGGGGATGCTGCTGCTGCTGCGGCCGCCGCCGCCGCTAGTACGGGGACTGCAGGCGGGAGAGCGGGTGGCCGCGGCGCCCGGCGGCATGTGAGCAGCGGCGGGAGCGTTCCCCGAGCCCCGCGGCAGCGCTAAGGGGGCCCTTCCCTCCGGCGGCGGTTCAGCCCGCCCGGGGGCGCAGCGCGGAGGCGGGCGGGCATCCCCGCTCCAGCCGCCCGCCGGGAGACAGCAGGACCGGCCACAAAGCGCCGCCGCCCGCCTTCCTCCGCACGCCGCCAGCCCCGCTCCCGGAGAGGGAGAGAGGGGGCTGCCCTCGCCCCCTCGTCACCTTCTCGCCGCCCGATCCATGGGAGGAGAGGGCCGTCTCCCCCAAGGAAGCGCCGCCGCGGCTCGCCGGGACTGAGCGGAGCGGCCGGCGGCCGGCGCGGCGGGAGGATGCCACTGCTGCGGAAGGCGCTGCGCGTCTCCAACCGCTCCATGCTCGCCTTCATCTTCTTCTTCTCCTTTTCCTCATCCTGCCTCTACTTCATCTATGTGGCCCCCGGGATCGGTGAGTCCGGAGCCGCCCCCTCGGGGAGCGGGGGTGCGGGCGGTGGTGGGGGACGCGCCCGCCGCCCCCGGGCTGTCACCGCGGGCGGGGAGGGCACGGGTGGCGCCGGGAGAGGGGCGGCTCGGCTGTCGGAGCGCGATCCCGCCCGCCCGGGAAGGGTCGGGGCGGCCGGCGGGGGCGGCGGTAACGTGCGCGGATCCCGCATCTTTGTTCTGCTGCTTTCAAACGCTCTAGAAGGTTCATCTGCCATCGCGAGGTAGGTGGATGCTGCCCTTGCTTCTCAGGCTGGCAAAGTGAGGCACTGGAGCGGCTCAGCCTTTCGTCGTGTTACAGTGGTATGAATCGGGAAAGAACTGCAAAATTGCTGGAATCGCTTAAATGTATTAGTCTTTTAAATGGTTAGTAACTGCATTTATAATAAAGCCCGTGTGAACAGAAATGAAGAACCAGCTCGAATGTTGTTTACTTCTGCTAGTAGGATCTCTCTGTCTTCACAGGTTTTACAGTTTGGTAACTTCCACTTCTGAAGGAACCACTTCAAAGGGAGACAAACCGTTGATTTAGAAGAACCTTCATAAAATAACTGTGCAAGCTTGCATCTAAAACAGACAAAAAAATGTGCTGATTTCCTTAGCTCACTCTTCTGCTGTTACTGGGAGACCATCAGGCTTTTTCTCAGTGGATGATCTTTTTAGAACTGGTTAACATTACCCCAGAGCTAAGGCCAGTGGTATCCTGTATGGTGCTCTGTGGGGTTTCTCTGTGTTGGATGTCTCTTGATTAGGAAATGTTTTCCTATTTTTCCAGGGAGCGTTGCCACATTTTTCTGCACATCTCCTTGCTTATCAGGTGCTACCTAAATACTTGCCAAATCATCACTCTCTTCATCCTTAATGCATAAAACTTCTCCCTGCAGCCATTACTTCAAAATGTCCGTGCTGATGTGACCACTGAATCTTCAGGAATTGTTTTCTGTTGATTGTCATGCTGTCTGGCTCCCTCTTGTTCACTATCTTCTATTTAACTTGTAAACACTTTCAAGGTGCAATTGTTCCTTCTATATTTGAATGGTTCTATATAGTTCAGCTATCGTTCTATAGTTTTCCTTTACTTATGTATTTCCTACAATATTGACAAGTCTGCCAATTATCCTTCTAGTTCAAATAAATACAAAAAATATTAGGAAATATATAATATTTATAGGGTTGGAGTTCTGAAGTTTTTGTCTGTCAGTGTTTCCCTGCTGAAAGGGATGTGTTGTCTTCCAAGTGAGAATGATGCTGAAGTCCATTTAGACGTCTTAGGTCTTTAGATGCTAGTGCAGCATACATATATAAAGTAGGCTTTAATTGCAAGTAATTGATATACGATCTAAATAGCAGAGTACAGTTTCTACATCTTTAGAAGTGTAACTTATAACATCTTACATAATGTACGCAATCATAGTTTTACTTTGTTACTTAAATGTTTCTTGCCAATGGGTATTTTCCCAGGAAGTACATTGTCTCACTTAGCAAGGCTTATGTATTACCTTGTTCAGAATGAGAACCTTTAGTGATGAGGCTTTTAATTTCTGACTTCATCTTTCTGCTCAGCTATTGGGAATTACATGTATGTTCACTTTCCTTTGTACCAGGAATGAAATGGAATAAACTGTATGTACCAAAAGTGTTCTTAGGGTAGGTTAATTAGGTCTTATCAACCTTGAGGGAAAAAAGAATCATATTCAAACTAGTCTTTCTTGCTATCTCAGACACAAATGGTGTAGTTAGCCCTTTCAAGATGTGGTTTAACAATGCAAAAATCTTGGGTTGTTACATGAGTTTGTGAGATTACAGCTCTTTCCAGCCACTGATCAATGCTGTGCTGCTCTAACTGTATGTTGTTGTGTTGTGAACTCATCCAGCTTAAGTCAAAACCCTGCAATAATGAACTTGTCTGTGGGACTTCTTAGGTTCAGCTTGAAATGCTGCTGTGCTGGTCTGAAGGATCCTGGGGAAGAGAATATAGGAAATGGTAAAGGAAAGGGCAGTAGGAAAGTTTTGCATCTCAGCCTATCAGCCTGCAGATGTAACACTGATTTTCCAGGAATTTGCTCCTTAAAATGTTACTGTGTGGAATGGACAGAAAGAAGGTCAAATATTATCTAAAAACTAACAAGCTTCCTGGCAGTAGAGTGAAAAAGTAAGCTGTAAGAACAGAAGTTTTTCAAAGCACATAGGAACACCCAAGTTTACAGGCAGATGACTCATCTAATAATCCTATGCTGTATGCTCATGGCATTTGCATGTTGTGATAGAATAGAATATTGAGTGTAATGAAATAGATGTATCTAAGTCAAGGCTGATTTTGTGTGTGGAGAGGAGGAAGACTAAAGGTTATTGAAGCTCAACCACCTTATCTGTTAGCACCTTTTCATGAAATATATTCTGCAGCTAAGTCATAAATGGTTGGGTTCTGTCATAATTTATGTGTACAGATGTTTTACTGAGGATATTTGAGTTCAACAGAACATTTTATTCCTCAACAAGCTACAAGGCACAATGTCAGAGAGGAAGAACATTCTAATTGTGTTGTAGGGAACTGGAGCTTCTCCCTGGCTGGCTTCTCTTCGTGGTGGTCAGAGGAACTGAAAAGAAACTGAGAAGTTGGATTCTCAAATGTTTTATGGAGCAACAGTGTACTGGAAGGTGGGAGAGGAAAAATAAGGGAGTTATGCACCAGAATGATTTCCTGAGATGTCAAAGTCGATTGAAATTTTGAATTCTTATGGGCTAATGGAGTAGGAATCCCCCTTAGCAAGCAATTAATGGCTTATCAAAGGGAAAAGACATCTGCACATATAAGCCCTTAGCACTGGAGGAATTCTCAAAGAGGTCACATTCCCTCTGTCCTTAAAACTATTTAGAAAATAGAGATGCTATTTTTTTTTTTTTTAGATGAAACTGCAAATTTTGTAACAAATGCAGTTTAGGACAACGTGAAATATTGACAATTTGTTTAGAGGAAAGAAATCTTAATTTTAGTTTAAAAAATGACTTTTATTTAAAGTATTTAATTATTTGTCTAATATTTAAAAGTTTTCATTTGCACCATAATCACACATATTGCAATTCTATTGCAATTCGGATTTTTTTTTGTTGTTGTTTTGTTTGGTTTTGTTTGTTTTTTGAAGAGAACCTCTCAGAATGTTAGTTCTTTAGGAAATAAAAGCTTTTATTATTCCACGTATTTCGTAATATGAGGCAAGGAAAACCACATTTTCATGTTTTCAGACATGGTTCTGTGTTTTGAGATGAAGATATGTAGTACTGCAAATAATATAATATATAGGGTTTAAATGATTTGATAATAATCCATACACTATGTGGGATTGTTCATGTGCCTGCTTTTGCCTTTTCTGTAAGCAGAGATGATTGGATGAGGTACAGGTGATTGCAGCCCTACCTCAGCACCCTGGTTGTCTTTTGATAGTCACAGGAGCTGAAACACAAAAGCAGGTTGATTTCTAACTATTAATTAGAGAAGACAACTATTTTTCTCATTTTAATTTTTCCTGTTTAATTCAGTGGGTGTTTCAGAGGAAGACCTTAAGGGATAGAATTGTAAGTTAAAATGGTCAAAAACATTTCAAATGTTTAAAATTTAAAAATTTCATTTAAATGTTTAATGACACTTCTGTGTGATAGTCTCAAGTATTCATTGAAAGCAGATAAGAGTTGCTGCTTCTCCAGAGTGACCACTTTTGTGACAGTACTTCATTTGGCGCTCCTCTGGAAAAAGCAGAAACTGAAATTTCCAATCTTGAATTAATAGCCTGTGATTCTGAAACTTCACTGAAAGTTGCAAATATTCGTGTGTTAGTTAAAAGCTGAAGAGGCTAGCTGAGAGCGGGAATATTTGGCATCAATATGGGAGTTTTTTCAGTATTACAGATAAAAGTTAAAAAAGGGACTCAAATAATCTGTCTGGTCCTGAGAGCTATCCAGAACCCATATGTAGGTTTGAGTTTACATCGTGGAAAGGATCCAAAGATTAGGAGAATAAGACAAAATAACAAGGCAATGGTGACCAAGGGAGAGCATTTGCTGGTCTAATTTCATTGCCAAACCAACCTGAGTATTACAAGAGACAGCTTTTAAAATTTCTTTCCTGTTTTTCCCATTTGCTCTCAGCATTATAACTGAAATTACATTGGGCGACATAATAGATCTCAGAAAATGATCTCTTATTCATCCCTGGGTTATTCTTTTCTGTATTATTGCAGCAGAGAACCTTTGCCAGATTGGGTGGAAAAGTATCTTAGAGCTCTCCATATTGTAGCAATTGTAGTCTAGTTTTTCAGCCGGAGGGTGCTTGAGTACTGGAACAGGCTCCCCAGGGAAGAGGTCAGAGCATCAGGCCTGACAGAGTTCAAGAAGTGTTTGGACAACATTGTCAGGCACATGGTGACATTCTTGGGGAGGTAGCATTCAGGGTCAGTAGCTGCACTCGATGATCTTGATGGGTCCTTTCCAACTCAGCATATTCTGTGATTCTTGCTTGTCTCCTTTGGATGTAATGACCTATGCAGTTCAAGTAAGAACTGGTTATGAAACAGTGCAGTGATCAAAGAAGATGCAGTCTGCTTTGACATCAATAACTAAGAATCCTGAATGGTGAAATGAAATCGAGGAGGAAAAAACAGCTAATGCTTTCTCTTTTATGGTCTTCTGCTTCTTTTATTAAAATCTTGCTACTTCTTTGTCAGTCCTTAGCAAAAGGCAGCTGTGCAGCCTACTTGGAAGTTGGAAGCATCTCTACCGGTTTTAGCTCACAATTTTATATAAATCTATTTCCTGTTCTGTTACTAACTAGTTTTCCTCATAGGAAGAATGAGATCACTCCTTTTTGTACTTATGCAGAAGTGGAGGAGAGTGCTGAAAATGCTATCAGCAAGATAAATGTTTATCGTTGCTTCCAGGTGCTGAGCCCATAAATATGGGCACAGCCTTTGGCTG